AGCTGAGAAACACAGCCAAATTACGGCGTCTTCGAACGCGTTAGAAGTTGTAGAAGAAACGCTTCGAACATTCTAATGCGCAGGAAAATTGATCGGATACATCTAACTACTTAAGAATCGTAACGTCTGAGAAAGTCCCCGAGGAGCTAAGCCTTGCGGGTGATTACTTCACGGCGTATAGTGATCTCATATGGTGAGATGGATCACGTTGAAGTCAATTTGAAGAATCTATGTTTACCCGTCAATGAAATAACTAAAATTTTTTACCAGTTTAAAGTCACCGCAAATGTACTCACCGACACACATTTATAAATAGATCATAGTGTTTCCGTTAATCAGTTTCGGTGTTTTACGACCTCCATCACGCAAGTTAGTATAACTCACGTGTATATTACTGCTATCAAGCTATTCAATTTCGTTTCTCGTTGCAGCGGTGCTCCTATCATTAGCGCGAGGTTTGCATAACCGAAAGACAAGCGTGAATAAGGCGGTCACGGAAGAAAAAAAACGTCATACAAGATAATATTATACAGCGTTGTATAATGACATGAGTTTTATACTTACGAAGAAGGCACCCGTCTGTCTACGCTGATGTTTGCAATCTAACCAAAAGAGATAAAATCCTGGTGATCGTAATGTCGCCTATACGAAAACGCGGTCGGGTCACACAACAACGTCAAGCTAGTAATGACGCTACGCTAGATGAAGCTATTTTACTCGTCTAATGTCTGTCCTTCTTCGATCACCTGTACTTATATACTGATTTTTCTTGCTGATCATTAACGAAGTACTGAACGAGGATCTGTGTTTCGTTACGAATGTTCAACAAAGAAACACCAGTCCACGTTTGTAGTGCTTTATTTCTACATCAATTTGTTCCTTATCTTCGTCTTATCATATTGTAATGTCAACGAACTCGATTGTATCGGCACAGTATGTTAATGTGGCGAAACGTATCTACTACCGTTATGGCTTCGCTTGCCTTCGGTTATACCTTTAGTCACCCTATTTCTAGGACCAAAAAGCAAGGGATTTAACGTGCGAATAGTGTAGGATAAACGACAATGACCGGTCTCGTAACAGCCAGACAAACTGCGGAACCGAAAAGAAGCCAAAGGCCAAACATGGTCACGCCCCACGAAACTTACTGTGGTGGTCCAATTACAATGATAGATATACAGATTGCCCGATAATTCGTCCATGCATATATTGTCGGCCGTGGCAGGCAGCAAATATGACGAAATGATCTAAAATTGAGGTATTGAATAGGTGTGAATGCAATGCATTCTCCAGCCTATTCAATAATGTTCCAATAATAACGTTCCAAGCAGCTTAATGTGCTACAAGACGAACCGGTTGTAATAAATCGTAGAAATGACTAGGTTTTTTTTTTTTACCGCAATCAATAGGGATGCAACGGCGCTGTTAAAAATTGCGCTGTCACCGCGGTGGCTTAGGACGTTGCGCCTTTTCACTTGGAAATCACACAACTTCCGGCTCCGTTGGTGGCGCTAAAGTATAGCTAGATATACGAACAGCGTATATTGAAATTGTCTCTTTTCTTTTAGGTTCGACGTCGCTGTCCTTTATCTTTGATCGTTCCTGTTCGTGGTATGTGTTTATTAGATTCCTAGGCGCAGTAGGAGACACACAAATGGCGTCCCATCAAGTAGCCGCTAATTCAACAACGTAACTCATTTCTACACGTCGTTTATAACCGACAGGCGAAGAACAGAAGAAGGACTTCGGCCAATCGAGATCAGCGGATTATTATGAGTCAAATGTTTTATAATTTGTCCGTCATATCGGTTGTGTCTAGTAACTCTTGGCGGTTTCAATCTTAGCATTGGTATTATTATCGCTTCCATATCATCAATTTGGTGTCATAAAGAGTTAATAAATAACGAATCATTAATTAATGAAAAAAGATGGATGCTTACAATAAGCCTGCATGTACATACAAGATCAAAAAAATCGGATACTTCAAATATACGCGTCGTCGACGGATAGAGTGAAACCAATATATTGGAATAGTAGTTTAAAAAGCAGTTAACAGGTTACCTTCAACTAGAATAGAGTATTTGATTTTCCTTGCACCCTTCTTTTTACCGACGTCGTTTAGCTAGACCCACCTCGTAGCAGTCGATCAGCATGTAATGTCTAGGTACTGGAAATTAACATTGCCGGCTCGAATAGAACGATTAATAATAACATACATAGCGCGATGAAGTACCCAAAATAAACACGAGTAACACGATGCTTCGAAATAAAGACATTTTCGACCTTCAAACCTCGCTGGCGTCTCTGACAAGGTTAGAGAATCTAACTAACTTCCACGCGATAACACCCGCATTGGTGTTAGCAGGTAAATTTCTTCTGTTTGCAAAATGTTCAGGCTCCACTAGTTAAGGTCACGACACATGTGCACTGGTCAGACAGAAGTATGGACCGTTTCGCAAAAAGTTTTTGAATGCCAGAGAAAATATTCAAATTCGTATCACCCTCTAGCTTAGCATTGAAACGCTCGTCTAAGTTAGATATATTGTTGTGTACCTTGGCCAAAAAAAACAAGTAGGCGTCACTAGCTGTAATAGGAAGGTCAAAAATTGTATCGGCCGCTTATTAGCGTTTCTCTGATACACGCGACTTCACCATTACTGCTACCGGTCCAGTGTGGCCATATCCGATGCTCGGTCTTTAAGATATAAATGTGCGTTATTGGCTTATAGTTCGACGAAGATATGTACTGGTTAAGCTGGTCACTGGCTGAAGTTAATCAGACTTTTTCGAAAAAAGTCTGATTTCGTTTCGAAAACGTCCGCGACTTTGCCAGCCCCGGGTCTCCTTCGGGATTCGAAGCAGACGCAATGAATAGGAGACCGCTAAAAACGCTGCGAGTTTTCTGCATGGGTCAGACAGTCGGTCGACAAAAAGCGACGGCGATACAATAAGCACTATTTACCGGACTTGTAGCGTAGTAGCAGCCATATCACTTCATCATAATCACTACTGGATTGGTCTGGCTGACTTCGATACCAACCGGCTCGACTAATGTAAACATGGCCACGCAAAGACCTGTCGGCTGCAATAGCTTGTGAACAAAAGCCGCGATATTTACCGAGACAAAAGGGCAAAATCCACAAAACAAATTAATTGGCGGCATAAATCGCTTCGGACGGCAGTAAGTTAAGTTACCAAATTCGAGTTACGTTGTATAAGAAATGCGAGTCGCCGATTGGAAGGCTTTATCGTCAGATCGCTTAGAGTAAATGCGCTTTTGGGGGGTGGTGATCATTGCAGTAAACTTGAGTCAGTATTTTAGAAGGAAAAAAAACTACAAACATCGAAGTTTCCAAGTGAGAGAACCTAACTTGAGCACACGGTTATTGAAACGAAAATATGCCTCTTGGTTTTTTATTGCTATTGCGTTTATCCTTAACGCGGTACATATGTTACAATGAAGATAATTTTTCATTAAAAATTTTTTGTTGTAGTTTTTTGTTTTAGTAATTGACCACCTTCCTATCATCGATCCGATGGAAAATAGGTGCGCTTAACAGAAAACGTTTAATAGAAGCTAATATCTGTGAATGGTTGAATTTCGTCTCAAAAAAAAAGACTCATAAACAATAACAGCAATAACAGCTGCACAAGAGAGCACCTTATTGGTGTAAGTGAGCTATTACAGTTTCTACGGTAAACTAATTTTAGCAAAGACATTAATTTAGCAATTCAGACGAAGTCTAGTGACACCAAATAAGTAAGCATTTACGCTCCTCGTTTAAGCTAAGAGATTTTTGTTTCACGTAATAGCCATTGCCTCGACTGTTTGCGCGATCCTCCTTCGCTCGTGGAGGTTCATTACATGCTGCGAGCGTTAACTATAGGAAGTGACGGGAGTTCTTCGTGAAGCTTCTTACCAACGACACTCTTTGGCAATAAAGAAAATCATAGCGTTGCATTTTAATTACCAACTGACCTTTTTGCCGCCGTCAAACTTCCAATAGATGTTTCTTTATTCCAGAACATCTGTATGCCTCTAAAAATCAGTTGATGTAATTTAGTTTTGACGATGTCGATATTAGTGACGAAGGCACACGAGGGTTACCGTATACCAAGTTCAAGTCGCCCTCTAAACCTCTATCCATATGAAAAAAATCCTCGAAGAGGAAGTAGACGGGAACAAGGCAAGCAACAAGATACAGTTGAAGTTCAATAGTACTTGTCTAAAGTCAATTACTTAACGCCGAAAGCCCGATTTTCCTATTTTAAGCTAGAAAGTTTCCCGTAAGCCCATTCATTAGTTAAGAGCGTGGGTATATACCTTGGATCTCTTTTCTTGTAGGGAAGCATAGCGTTGTACTCTTTCCGGCATAGATGGTGATTATATCTTTTTTGGAGTTTTACTACAAGATCCATGTTAAGATTATGCTTGTGAAAAATATGAAAAGGTAAACATTCAATAGATCAGTATTAAGCGATTAAAAGTGAATATATATACAATAAAATATGCGTGAATCTATATGCAGGTTTTACATAAGATTCATATATTGCGAACTACTAGATATACTCTACTTGTATTCGTTGCTTTAGATATAACGTGTAGCATACTCATTTGGTCTCGATAACTTACTGAATTTTTATAACTTGTGTTCGTTCTATATCAAACGACGCTCACAGTTCCCTTACGGGTATAGGGAAGTGTACGACCGTATCTTTCCAAAGTTACGCAACGCCTGACGTCTGATTGTTGTGGCCTTACACACAAACACCGAAGAAGACGATCCCCCCAAAGTAGGGACTAAAGAACTGCCGCGAAGCCTATCCAGCTTGGCCTATGGCCGCGGATTAATAACTTAATTTACACACCGTCGTATAATAAACATGTATATATATATATTTGTTTTTAAATATTAATTCACATTTAAGTCATTGATCGATGGAGTATTAGCGCGCGCTAGATCACAAACCAGAATAGCTCGACCGTATCTAGCAGTCGCCTAGGAAAGACAGACTTTTCCTTTTAAGAACAAAAAGCACATATAGACACAAGGATAAATGACTGTCCCATAAGTGTATTCTCTGTTTCAAATAGAAACGCATGCGTTTTGAATTAGCGTAAAGCGTGATATGCAGCATTAATACAAAATTGATTGGGATTATACTGCTGTAAACGTGCGGGGGTGTGGTAATTACTAATTAACCCAGCGGATTTCGATTGAGTCAATAATCAGGGGGCAATTATAAAAAAAAGAAAAAAATAGGACGCTGCTTAATTTTGATCGTTTTATTGGATGTACGCATATATTTCATCCAATAAAAATTTGAAAATGATCTCAGCGAATGTATCATAAGCCAGCCGTTGATGCAAATGCAATTCCTGTCAAGCGGCGTTGGATCCTTTAATATCGTAGCGGAATTATTTTTTTTGCATGAAATTGGCCGTTCGAAGTACTTCGGGTAGCGACCCCGAATTGGACGGAACAGGCAGTGACCACGATGGATCGAGTGCAGTTCAGTTGCACTGATCTCATCTGGTACTAACTAGGACGGTTACGTCTGTGGTACCACAATGATAATAGTACCACAGACGATACAAATATTTGTCAAGCAGATTAAAACATGTCCTTGCAGTAATCACAGGCAAAAAGCCGTCAACGAAGAGACTTCGGTGCCGAGCTCGTTGCGAAAACAGGTGATGATATACGCCTATCCGTTAAGTTGTGATATATCAGTTATGGAACTGTAGATAGATATGGAAGAAAAAATATTTTCCGTTCCTTTTTTGTAAATCTTAGGCGCCGTGATAAACAAGGTGAGGATCTTCGCTGAATTGCGGCTCATCTACATTAAGTTAGATTGAGTAGATTTGCAGGTATGGTGACAAGTCGTATGCTGATGGAGGGTATAGTCCTGTAGGTTTGAAATCTTAAATATTGCAAATTTACTGGAATAACTAAATCGCAACTTGGACAGTTAAAATGTTACGACAACATCACTACGCCACTAGACTTCATAAATCTAAATCAAATGCCCCATAGGATGCACAGGAAAAGTCGATGTACAAAAAACTGCACACTTCCTGTGCACAGCCGTGTGTTTAACTGTATTCGTTATGAATCTGCAAATGTACCATTATTTGAATAAAGAAACAACAAACTTTGTGTAAAAGCAGCGTAGAGCCTTCTTAAGGTTCGTTAGCTTCCAGGCTAGTGATGGCACAGGATGTCCATGGTCACAATTCTGCAAGCCACTGACAACAGCAGCGTACCCAGTAAAAGTGCAGCGCTTTCTGAAAAGTTCTTACAACGTTCAAAATGTTTCTTTGTTTTACTGTAGCTACGTGTCCAGGGAGTCATCAATCGATTACCTCTTTAAATCAAAAAGGAAGCTATTAGCAAATCGGCTGTGCAGGTCACACGTGGGTTACTATATGCTACAGATAATTGTGTGAAGCCACGCTTTTAACATATCATAATGTTGTGAAGATAGCCACACCTAAGTCTTCAGCAATTTGACAGAACTCTCACTATTCGGTAGGGGTAGGCCAACCGTTCCTCCCGGTAGCGAAGGTCTACAGAGTTGGCAATCCTTACAATGAAATGCACCTGTACCTACGACGGGGCTAGATAAACAGCTAAGGCTACAATGGGATGTTATTGAAATTCGCTGCATTGCCAATTGGACATCGAACCGGTCTCTATTGTCGTAAGGAACCTATTCAATTGATTTCACTTCATGTAGCTCTGCCTAAAAAAGGGTACCCTATCAATCACTTCATCCATCTTGTTCATGGATGAATTAGGATCGTTAGTTTCATTCTGCCTAGAGCGAGGCTAGTTTTGGTGATCAAATGACCACTTATGAGATTCAAGTGACAGCAAGTCCATTTGGTAAAGCCGTATTACGATACTTCATGACAGGAAAAACACTCGTGTCAGTGTCTGTTTCGTGGAACTATAAAATGAGTACCTATCGGGAATAATCTGTCTCAGTAGCATCAAATCTATCAGCCATAGATGGAGGTTTTTCGGTTACGTTATAACCGTTTCCGATTTTCGTAATGAAAAAAACTGAACGGTTTTGAGCGTCACTGAACTATTATTAGAAACAGTTCTTCCAGCCTGTGTATGCGATTGATTACATGTGCTGATAAATGGATAAAGCACACGATATATGTATTTTGGTAATTTCAGGCCATAATCACTAAATGAATAGATAGTTTATGGTGTATAAAGATATTGCGAACGCCCTTATTTGTTCGATGAAAATCGACAGGTTACTTCGGCAGACCGAAGCAGCTCATTCCAGCGTGTTGCTACTACATAATATGTATATATATGGTCTAACATACGTGGCATCCCGAGGCTGGAATTGGCAAGCGTTCGTTGTTCCTAGTTGGGCGTGTATTTAATTGTCGATACGGTCGGTATATTGATTGTGACCGAAATTTCTAGTCAAAATTAGAAGCATACATCCATAACTTCCGTCGAATCAACTTCTCTTGCCGAAAGAACCATGCAGATTACATATTTATCACACGACTTAATTATATGTACATATAGCGTATAGCTTTCATCCATAGTTCTAACTCCCAATATTTTGCTTCATGTGGACGTCTATAAGCATTATAAGATAAGGTTACTATTGAATGTCGAACAAGGTTTGCACACGTCGTTCAATGATGCTCTATACAGCTTTTGAAATTGCAGCTCCGTTAAGAAAGGCGATTTTTTCAGCGGGCATACGTACGTAGATAGAAACAGTTAGTAGTTTCTTTGGTGTTCCGACAGGTTGACCAAAAAGCAGCTTCCAATATGTTCAATATACGGACACTGCAAAACGGGTTTACGTAGTTCCAAAGAGACAACTTCAATGTGTATCAAGTCAATGAGAGACAAACATCTACATGAATAAACAAGTATAGCATTGTTCTAGGTAATAGAAATTTCAAAATAATTACCTTATCAGCAGGCGCTCGCAGTGAGCCGTATTTTAGAGATCCCTTGAAAAAAGTCTTCTTATCTTGAATTATTAATATTGGTGTGTAGAAGATAAAATAATCTGTCAAATAACAATCTCATCTAGCAACAATATGGCACCGGAAGGTCACTGATATAACATTATGCATTGTTATTTCCACTGAGCTACCCAACTGAACCTGTAAATGTGACCTTTATCGGCTGTCTGTATGCCGTAAACACTATTGAGCATCTAACTAAATCGATATCATATCTGTTATTTCTACATACGAACACCAAGGTTTTGTCATAGAAAATCAAAAGTTTGAAACGAATTAAGAGTAGTGTCAAAATTAACTTTTTTCATCCACCATAGCACACAACTAAAATTTACCGATTCATTTTATTTTTCAGACCCCTTACTAGCCATATTTATATTTCTTAGGTAAAAATCAGCGGCATAGTTACAAACTACGTTACGTGATCATGGATTACAGGTCATTTGTTTATGCTCGCATCGTGACAACGTAAACAATAAACAGCCAATTGTGGGGAGTAATAATGACCAAACCCAGTTACCGTGGGTTATTCCTTCGGCTTCATTTTCAAGTACACCGCATCTCTAAGCAATGCTCGTTACATAATGTAGTTAAGTGAGCGCGAATATTGATACAGGCAGGGCAGCATGAACCTAAAGCGTCGCCAATATAGTTAAAAACTGTATTCACCACGGGTTTTTTTTTACAAGTACTATTATCAGGTAGGAGCTCAGCACGCGTGTTCTTTCTTACTTACGCGCACGAGCACCGGAAATCAAACTGAAACCGGTACAGAGAGCCCTTTACACGTGAATGTCCATAGCGAAGTCGTCCGTGTGAACGCCGTTGACGCAAGCGCCGTTATGGTGTATCGGAAAGCAACTACCGTTTCGGCGTCTCACAGCTTGTTCGCCTGATTTGACGCTGACGTTCTCCGTTCAGACTCATAACTAACTCCCCGATGTCGCTTGCCTTTCCTGCGATAGCGGTAGGACCACAGGGCAGAAATGCTAGATCGATTTCGGTAGCGGTTGATGGGACGCGAGAGATCCATAATATTACCAATTTGTTACTCGTGGTGTACAGAAAGGACAGAGATTTTTTTTATGAGATTAAATTTGGGAAACTCACTAATGTTTGAAGAATGGTGTCATTAATGCGCATTCATAACAAATAAAAAAAATAATCTAAGTTTAAGGGTGTTGAAAAATCATATAGGGATCTATTTTTTTTTTGCTATTGATGCACTTGTTCATGGTATTAAAAACGTGACGCTAAGCTCAGTGTGGATTAGGCGATGTTTGTTTTCATCATCAGCTCATTTTCGATATTCCAAAACAAACATTGTGTCAGTAGATGTTGTATGTTATCGACAGGGTGGGATTCTTCGATTTAGCACAATTAGTAAACAAGTCTTCGGAATTACTTGGTTTTAGATATAGCGTCAAGGACTTGGCTCCATTAAGAGTCTAAAAAAGAAGATGGTTTTGCTTTTTTTTTCTAACAGACCTATGAAACGACATGGCACCCATACAAGTAGATATTAACCTTAATAATACCTTATTTTTCCTTCATTCCTTATTTACCTCAGTATTATTATATGGTAATAATTTCTTGCTAAATTCAAGATTTGAAGCATCGTGGCAATGTGCTTGTTGGTTACGGCAATCATGGACACATTTGCAGGGTATGCCCATTAGCCACCCGGAGCCAACCCCGACAACATAGATTCAGCGACTATTCAACTAATTCATGCGTGGCAATTCTCCCTAGCGAATATTAAAGACCTTTTTAGGTACAACAAAGTTTTCAGATAAGTTACAACTAATTTCCTATTGAATTTGTCGCAAAAAGTAAAACAGTTATCCCGAATCGCGATTTTGTACTCCTCGTTAAGCATATCGCTAAGGAGGAGTTCTACGCACATAAAATTTATAGCAAAACCACTTTACAGGCACTACTCATATATAGTCCATGTGGTTCATTAGCGGGCCTCCTATGCAGTAACAATCATTCAGAAATTTCCAAAAAATTCACTTGGCAATTCGAGGATCTTCAGTTTGTATCTGACGAAGTAGCAGGAGAGAAGAGCGTCAGAATGAAAGTAAAAAAAACAAAAAATATAGTAAAGAACCTCAAGCTTTCAGGAAAGCTTCTTTTAAACTGTCGGGTGACTTTTGCTGTACTCTGTGTACACACATGTTTTTTGTTGTAGACTAAGTAGGCTGTTAAAGTTTTTTCAGGCTGTATCTAGTTCCACTTCGGTAGCTATCCACCTATAAGCGTTCGCATACGAGAATACTCGGATTTGAATCTTGAACTTCTAGTAAACGCTGAAGAGAGTGCTTTGTAGTATCTGGTACCACAAAGTTCCCGGAGAAGCCTTTTATTCAGATGCTAGCATCCAGATACGATAGGTTAAAATAGGCGTAATGTCTGATTACCTTTTATCGATAACAAACCCTAATAGAGTCTCACGAGACGTCTCACATTTTGACAGTAAACAATTTTTGTAATAGTTAAATGTACTTACTTGCAAAATAAATAGCACAATAGTCTAATTCAAGTGGGCATTAGTCACTCGAATACCTATAAGCTTTATTGACTCAGTGGTAAAATTTTCAGACTGATGACAAAATCGTGCGGTCGGTACTTGTCCGCTATACTGGCTTGCCTTGCGTCGCTGCAGGTACTTGAAATGGTACCACTGGCTAGAGCTCATGATGGTGGAATCCTCGCAACCCTCACGCAAACTATACATCACCTATTCGAAAGGCCGTAAGTATCCGTCAGATTATCGGCTATGTTGTCCATAAAATTGTCTTTATTTCATTTAAGCGTATAAATACTACGCACTGTAATTATTTTTGCTCGGCTAAATAAAGAAATTCGGGTCTTATCGTTAATAAAAAAAATGACAACAAAGCGTTATTTCAATATATGAAAACTATGAACACAAATTAAGATCTCAATTAGGCAGATGATATTTTTAAGGACAAGGAAATCAAAGACATTTGAAACAGAGAAGTAGAGCATTTTCAAGAAAGACAGCTAGGTTAGTTGATAACCTTCTCCATCATCACCGTTGCCCTGTGCCAAAGTTTGCTTATCGTTTCCATCGAGACTTTGCAAGCGGAAATTACTATGTCTATTATACACGATGCAGCATTGTTTTGTACATGCTTTTTTTTTTTAACTATCCACCTTTGAACAGCCTGCAGGTTAAGAACTCTCTATTCAAATCTGTTTTCCTGCTAAGTCATCTCACAATTTGTGAAGCATAAAGTAACTGGATAATCTTCACAACATCGAAACGGCTAGTTAAATTATAATAACGACCTGAATAACCAAACACATAATAAGCAAAGTCAGTTATTTTGTCATCTGTGAGGGCCGTATGCCCGATTGGTTTCAGTCACGTCTTGGCGTTATGTAATATTTGGATAGTCGTAAAAATAATCATAATAATAACAAAAATATTTGCCTCATGTTTTTCCATCATCGCACCATGCATGATGATGGTAATAATAGCAATGATCAAGAGACAGTCGTCGCCTTAGAGTCGCTCAACGGAACGGATAACTGCCCCCGGCGATCAGCACAACCCGAAGCCATTTGTTACCGCTAGCCTCTTATCAATGAGGGTTACGAAGAGATAGGATCTATTTTTGACCTGATTTCATCAAGGGCTTTTTTCAGTTTCAATATCGATTCGAATATTTTTAGTTGCCCGCCCAGAAATATAGCTTTGAAAAATTCAGTGTCCTCTATCATATTTTATCGCATGATTACAATTGTTGCAGTCAAAACGATGTTGTTTACAACATTTACATCCATTACGCCCAAAATACGAAAACATCTGCTTCGCAACTAGCCTTTATTATAATGGAAAAGCGAGGCAATATTTTGCAGCCAGACGCGATTCTTGGTCACTGTGTCTAAACGACCGCTCGCATATATACAAACATCGAAATGCCTATTATGCCTGGATAATTTAGTCCATTTACATATACATGTGTGTGTTAGCGGGCATTTCAGCTGCGTGAAAGGTCTGGTCCCTATAATATCTACCTGTTTTTTAATAGGCGAATTCTACTTAGAATGTGATAGCAAATATGAAACAATGGAATCAAAAAGGATTGCGTTACTTCGGGCACCATATTGTAAATCGACGTATCGAAAATCTTTGAAATTACCATGAAACATTTTAGTGTCTTGATGTCTTGGAAGTATCTAGGCTATCCCGTCTAAGTTAGAAAAACAAAACATTAATCGTTGTTCCCTCAAACACGATGGATTTTTTTTAACAAATAACTTTAATTTGATGTTTCATGGATAATGAATTTTAACGCCTAAAATAGTTGTCTTCGTTTTCCCATCAACGTCGTTACACACTCAAAACAACGTTTATTGTTCAGCACCCGTCAGACCGTGAATCTGTGTCTAATCTACTATCCTACTTATATATCTAAATGAAAACACATAAGGTTACTAATACATCCCATACACCCGGCCTGCCATTGTTAGCAATTTTGAAATCACCATTAGGATCTTCAGTCACCAGCTCGTTAACTACCGTATATATCCTACGCTCTGTGATGATGGCATACTCAGAGAGTACACACTAGCCTGATTTATTTCTTACGTGATCAAACGGTATCGCTATATCATTTCTTCATGAGTCCTAGGCGATCTGCAACGAAAGTCCTCAAACAATATAATTACAGGGCATTCCCATTACGTATCTTTGGATCCCAAATCCTTTAAAAGGATGTCTTCACCTACACGGAAATGTATCGACTGGTTGAACACAAAAGGTGTTATTGGGTTATTAGAGCTTCTATCAAGTATGATTAACTTACTTACGTATTATTTACATACAATCACAAGAAGGCTTTATAAAAAAGAAGCAGTAGTAATATAGGTCTACCTGCTTAACATATATTCCATCAGCAGATCCAATGGTCTCACAGTATGAACTGGAAATAATCTGCAATGAGAGACATCGTTGTTTTTGAATAGTAAAAAATCAACCTTCCGAGTTGTACATCCGGCACTGCAGTTCCTGTTTTTTTTCCAGTCGATGGTTGGCTCCCGACATAGGGTTTACCTAACCTAGACCAATGCGTGTGAGCAACTGGATTTCTGCACAAAAAATAGTTAAATAATACTGTACTATGGCGGTTTTTATTTATTACATTTATATGCTATTTTTAATCCAGATGCCAATAATAGAATCTACTGGGTTTTATAATCCGCTCAATATATTCACTACGTATAATTCTGCCAGCCAGACTCCTTATATTATTGAACACCAGACCATAAGGTACAGGAATAAAGTTTAGCGATAGCATCTGGCCAGCGGATGCACGTGCTTTTTGGAAGTATATATATACGTGTATGTGTGTTTTACGCGGATATTTTTGATGTTTTTTCTCGCATTATGGCTTCTAGATGGCTTTCTATGTCAACATGCGACAAGACTATCGAGCACCACTCAGCATCGTTTGAAGCTGCCATGCGCATTACACCCGAACACTTAATGCTTTTAATGATTGCTGCTAATTGAGGGGTTGTTTGTCTTATCATAGATATACTTAATGAACTTTCTAACTGGAGTGTATGCTATATCTAATAAAAATTACAAATTTTAATTATATACGTATCACTTACGTAATCTGTATCATCATATGTTGTATAGCTCATGGATATTTCTCGTGTGGGAACTGTGTTTCATCTAGGTACATTCTGCTATAGTACAGGCCATAGTGATTTCAATGTAATCGTAGGCCATCGATTTACACAAGTACAGAAATTCCGGCAAAAGTAGTGATAAAATCTTAAAAAGTTAACTCTGTTAGCAAGAACATTAATAATATATATATATATAAATTAGCGAACAATTGCTTAGTTGAGCCAGTTAGGCCGAAGAAAGGACGCACACAAACGTCCACGGGTAAGTTAATGCTTTGAATGAGTTATCCGATCCGCAAAATGGCCGAGGACCAGTTCTTGGTTTGGCGATTTTTAACAGTGCTGCCATCTAGACAATACTATTGAAGGTAGGCATGCTTATGTTTGGTGTGATTATTGAAAGTACAGTCTCGGCCGAAAAATAGATAACCAGTTTCGGAAGCGACTCGAAAGTTGACGCAACGCTTTGTTTCAGTTCATTGGACGTTGTCATATATCTATGTCATGATGACTGATTGTACACAATGTCCACATCGAAGTAAACCCAACAAGTGGGCCTCTTGGTTTTTGAATTGAATGAGCCTACACGGAACACGTTTATCTGATGATTAAATAACAATTTTGATGATTTGGCATCTCTACAGATTGATTCATGTATGGTGGTATTTCGATGACGGCAGTATTGTGGCACATGAAATTTCAACATCTTCACGAACGACCTTCACACGAAGATACACTTCACGTAGACAGTCACCTTGAATGTAGTCTAATTGATTTAGTTTACACAATACTAAATACGTATACATGCACACTAAAGTGTATACAACCTCTGCGATACCTCATACACTGCGTGGACAAGCTGGAACAACATAAAGGTAAACGGCAGTATATATCGGTTCTACGACCGATCCAATTGGCTACCAGATTGGGATTAATTAATGAGACCCAATGACGACTGAAGCGCGCACACATAGCGCCTAACTATTTGCCGTACACTAATTTATAACAAAAACTATATGAAACGTGTCGCTTTACAACAAACGTTACATTACCTGCTGTTTGAAGCAAGAAAACACCTACAATGTCAAAAGTCAGACGAGGATCCACCCTTCGAAGCTTGCAAAAACCTACCAGTTACACGCGTAGCCGAGTACAGAGTTATTAACATTCAAGGGGTATCGAAGGCTAAAGCAACTTTTTGGCATGCCACTTTCAAAAGACCAAGGATAGATAGACCAAGCCGTCAGTTGACGTATGCCATCCGCATGCATTATTAGGAGTACACACGGGCATGACAATTCGGATAGGTAGTTTTTTTGGCCTTTTTGTAAAGTGTCAAGCTTCTCAGTTCTCACTTGGGGGCCCGTACGCATGATCATCATCAAATCGATCATATCTCGCTTTATTACTTATCTGCGTGGAACCAACGACCCCCAGGACTGTTCTGTTTAGTCACTGGCTCTAAGTTAACAGGCGATCAGTAATTTTGATCACATATGAAGCTAGAATTGTGTGACGCACTTGAACACGAATCGGTCGAGTCGGCATTTAGTAGTACTTTCGAGTTTAATTGTGTAAATTGAACATTATATTCGATAACACGACATTCATTGTTTACGCTATAATTTGGTTGGATACTTCATTCGATATAAAGTGGGTCAATTTATGTGGTTCCTTTTTTATTTGGCCCTTACGTCAATTGATATAGCGTTACTGTTTCTGCTACGGATTCGAGTGAGAACAAAAACTGCTTTCCCGTAGAGTTCAGACTTTGCATTTGGGTGTCCAGAAGCATGTTAACCCTCTTTTCTTTTTTATCTCTTTTTACTTGTATTTAACATGAATGTTACACTAGTAAATACACGAGCAGCGCTCTTCAACACGCGGAGCTTCACACTAATCCAAACACTTCACAGACTGAAACACGTGAAGTATCAGTAAGGGAACACGAAGCGTGAACGTTCTGCTCGGGCGACGTTCTCCCAAAAGCTCTAAACACATCATCTATCCAACAGAATTTCGAAACGTTGAACTAGCGATCGCTTCAGACCATAAATCCGGTACGACTACCTCATACATGCTTT